TCTCTAGATCTAGATAGATTCGGCGAGCGGGCCGCTTGCTTGGACGCTTCTCTCTGATGTGACATAATTCAGAGCTTTTTGGAATTTAGAGAGCAGCCGGCGACAGGCAAAATAAATGAAAAATAAAACAGCTCAAAATTACGATGCTCTGGTTGACAAATTTTTGAACCATACATAAATAACGAAATAAAAATGTCAGACAGTGCTAGAGACTCTATGATACCTTAAACACACCAGCAACGAGATGCCGCTGCTGATCCCGCTGCTTTCTTCTAAGCATACATTAATAAGTATTTGAACTTTCGGCCAGAGTTTGGCAGTCAAACAGGCTAGAGTCGTAGCAGTTAATAAACCTAATATTAAAATCGATCAATCGATAAATTGTTGATTCAGTTAGATATATGCTCATATATCATATTTATGTCTCAAGAAACTTTTCAGCCCATTTCAAGTGAATTGAGGGTATTTTAATGAGTGCACTTACTTAGAGAATATTAAAATCTCAAAAATATGATTGGTTGTTAACGCGGAAAATGATCCTGGCTAGCTCAGGTCCGCTGTTCCAAATGGCAAATGGACTAACTATAAAAATTGTCATGAATAATAACAATAGAAACCGTTAATAGACTTGTCAGAACTGCGCGCTCTACAGTTGTTATTGCTGTTGTCGTTGTTGTTGTTTTTGTTGTTGCTGGTTTCGCTTTTGTTATCATATATGCAAAAACGTGCCGGAAATTGCGTGACAGCGAAAAATTCTCATAACATTTATATAACATTTGTAGTACCCGTTTTAGTTGAATGGCTCATGTTTGAGATGTTAATGCTCTGACAAAGTGTATATGGGCTAGCACATGCAGTTTGTAACAGGCGAAGTGCTTGGCTTGTTATGTGAGTCTCTGGTTGTACTCACGACTGCCCGAGTCTAGTTTATGATATATATACAGTTGGAATATATTTCATTTCCTGTTAGGGCATCCACTCTTCGAGGTTTGTAGTCTCATTGTTTTCTGGCTCGTATTTGTATGTTGTTATTGTTTTTCCTTTTATATTTTTGCGTTTTTTCATTGCGGCGCACTCGTTTAGATTGAGCTCAAGCTTCCTTCCCTGACCATTTGATGCTTCCGTTTTTTGTTGTGCTGTTGTTTTTGTTGTTGTTGTTTCACATGAATTTTCGCGCTCTTTGTGAAGATCATTTATAATGCGTGATATTGTGAATATCGTTGTCCAGTGCGCGCTGTTCTCTCCCTCTCTGAGCAGAGGCCAATCAATTTTAATTATCGAGCAAATTAATCAGTCGCAACTTTCGTATCATTAAGATTAATGATGCTGGCCGATCTGGGTGGCAACGGTACCCACAACAGCAACAACAGCAACAACAACAACGATAACAACAAGAACCAGAACAAGCAGCTCTCAAGATCTTGCTTATGCAAATAGCACATATCAGATAGAACATACACGGGATTCCGAGCATGATCACGAGCGCGATCTCCAACCTAAGCGTATCTCTCGCGCATAGCGACCCAAATGAGCCGTGGTAAATGTGATTAGAGCGCGCTTTAATTGCTCGCTTTTGTCTAATTATACGCCTGATATTGGGCAACAGAACAGTTCGTACATTTCCAATCCCAATTTCGAGCAATAAATAATTGTCGCGTTTTTCAAAGTGCACTGACCTGCCAAAATTGTTGATACATACATATACACATGTATATGTACATATTTATATGTATGTATGTTATGTTGTGCTATGGTGCACGAGTATTCAAGTCTGGGTTGCTTGGACTCATGTGTCCCGTTGGTGTGGAATAAAGAGGAATAAGCGCAAAACGAGACAAAGACAAAATAATGAAAAGTTTATAACGCCGACTGCAGTTGTCTCTTTGAGAGGTCACTGACGTGCATCAATTGGGTTTGACGAATCTGAGCGATGGACAGACCGTCAGACAAACATACAAACAGACAGGCAGAGAATTGCACAAGCTGTCTCGTAGCGTCCAAATGAATTATTTATATGTGTACGCAGCACCCAGAGCAAGTCAAAGTTTCTGGCCCTGTTTGTTTTCTGAATGAACAAGGAACAACACTTATTTTGCAAGTGACGAATAGGGAACACTCTTGAATTTTCGATACGAATGAAAGGCTAACTATTTAAAGAAGAAATATGGCGCATTTTCTTCTCAGTTATAAATATGTAGCTAGGGATAGCTGAGATATCCAACGATCAGGTATTAACATATAAAGAATACATCTAGCTCTTAAAACGTACATTTGAATTGATTTCAATATTGAAGCAACAAGAATCTCATCTGCTTCACTTTCAGCCTCCTTCAATACGTTGCATATTTCATAGCAAATTTTGGGTAATCGTGGTAAGGGTATATTTATGCATATAATAAAGGCTTCGACTTACACTTCAACTTCAACTTAAACTTGCACTTCAAGTCATGGACAGCCCCTGCTCTCCGCGCTCCAGCTTGATAGGGGCCTGGCTAATGACGGCGACAGACAGACTGAAATATGAGCACAAGTTCGAGTGCAACACACACTTATACACACATATACCAACACACACACATACTCACAATCAGAATCGAGCGCAGTGAGCATATGGCTCATGCAAATTTTTAGCGATTAAAAAGCAATAACTTATATTATCAACGCAAAGCTCTGAGGTTAATTGACAGACGGCGAGAATCACCCGGGCCAGAGCCAAAGTGTTGTCGGTTGGTCTTGCAAATAAATGTTGTACATAAAAAAATATATATACATAATATATATTCATATATGTATGTATAAAAGAAAATTATTTAAATAAACCATGTGAAGGTCTTGAAAAAATAAAAATAAATAAATAAAATAAAAGCTCTTCCGCATGCGAGTATCAGCATAAAGCTGTTCCCATTCAATGCACTTTTCTGCTCAGACTTTGAGACAGATCGAATGGGAAGGAGATGCAGCAGCAGCAAGCAGGTTGGGTTTATAATAAGCTGACCTCAGTGAAGTTCGAATTTCATTTTGTTTTTGTGATGTATTACGGCAATTGCAGAGCAGTCGCTTCGCCGGAAACGAATTCAATACAAACTTTGTACTTAAGAATTAGAATAATATATATGTATATGAATATATATTTCTTAGGAAATGACCGATGGGAACGGTCTGCTGCGGACCTCTTTGAGGGTTCCCACAGTGATGCATATGGCTTTTGAGCGTGAAATCAATGTTTCGACATCATATTCGGATAGCCAGAAATTGCTTTTAATGCTAAAACTGCCTTTAATGCGATGATTGATGTGGCGCCCCTTGAAACCGCAACCAAGTGCAATGTCAAGGAATCGGAATGAGACTGGGAATGGGAATGGGAATGTATATGGAAATGGGTTGGGTAATGGGGCATCTCTTAATGCCAAGTGACAGAAACAGCCGCTACAATGCTTATAAAGTCGATTCATTCTCTGCCTTGACTGCCTCTTTGCGAAGTGTGGCGCCCAGACAGCTGCTGTAGCCTCCCGATTATCATTGAGATCTTAAATAATCGATCCCTCGGACCGGGCAACTGATAGCATCGGCACTCAATTAATTGACCGGCTCATTAGGTCACTGGCATAGGAAAATTTTCCAGATAGCTGACACAAACCATGCGCCCCATCAAATTCAAATAAAATAGCAAACCGTTCCCACACACCGGTTCGATTTGTTTATTTTCAAAGAATGAAAGAGAAGAAATACAAAAAGAATAAGTAAAACAAAAATCGAATCTTGTGCAGCATTGGCATTTTACCTCTCGCGATTCTATGTTTATTTTGTTCCATTGTACTTTGTCCGACTTCTTTCATATTGTGAGCACATAAAATTAATAATCTTCACCTGTTAATGTCTGTAGTACGGGCATTACTTTGCTTATACAGCTGAAACTTTTAATTAGCCAAATTCCCATATTTCACCTTTGAAACCGAAATGCCGTGTCTCAGATTCCACATATACCTATATATATTTATATTTAGTATATGTACATTTATAGAAATATATATAATGTTTAATTTCTATGCGTGAGTTTTAAATCAAAATGATATTCAGGTATTTTTATTTAATAGCTAGAAAAGTCTCACTCATCGTACATCAGGTGGGTGGATGAATAGGAATTTATAAATAATACGATGCGCCCGAGTAACATTATATTCATATTTATTTATATTTTGGCTAGAAAATGTTGTAGATGACCATAAAAAAAAACCAAATGGATGTCATCATGAACACCCACTGGCTTGTAATCGGGCGGGCACTGAGCATTACGTCGCCCATGGTTGGGAATGCAATCAATCAAAATGCGAATTCAATTGGATAAAATTATTGAGACGCCTGTCAGCTAGCAATTTGATGGCCAAGCGCATTGTCATCAGCCCAAAGACAAGTAAAGCTGCAACAAATTGGAATGTTGCAATGGGCAGTCACCGACTATCCAATACTCGCTCATAATTTTTAATTTTTGTACATTTGTGCAGAGAAGCTCATATATTCCATTCGATTTCATTTGTATAGTATATTTATCTACAAAGATCTTTGAACCTATGTATATTCTCACTGTCGACTCTAGCTACAAATGCTTTACATGTGGCTTGGCTGTCAATGACAGACAATAGCTAAATTAAGATGTCAGAGGCATTTCAGCTATAAGTCATACGCATTATCAGAAACAATTAAAAATGAATGCACTGGCAATGACACATACAACCAACAACAGCAATAGGCAGAAGACGCAACGGCAACAACACCAACACCAACAGCAACAGTAAACAACAATAGAAGAAGAAAAGCAAATAAAACGTGTCAATGAATGTTTTCTTGGCGCTGGCATTTTAAGTTTATGCGCATTAACTTACACACACATACACATACACGTACACACTTCCTTACAAAACATAACAAACAGAACCTAAAGCGTTTAACGGTAAACGATAAACGGTAAACGAAGCGAATTTCATTGTTAAATGCATATTTACTTATCTGTTCTGCTTTGGTCAAGGCTCCTTCCATCTTTTCAGTTTACGCTTTCTGTTGTTTTTGTTTTTGTTTGTTCTGGTAAAGCGGCACATGGTTGCCAGATCAGTCTGCCGGCCGGTAAGATTGAGCCGCGAACACAATGAATTGATGTTATCGAATCACTGTAAAGTGGCATACTCATTGCAAAGATCATATCGGTATAAATATCGTATTGTAATGAGGTTATCGATGCTAGGCCTTTCACTTGGGAAGCACAAAATTATTGCGATATTGTGTATCGTATTGCAACGATATTATCGGTACAAGCCTTTCACATGTAAAGCACAAGAAATACATATGTATACTGTGAATAGATGTTATCGAAACTCAAATGCAGTTATGAAACACAAATGCGCTGCATACACAATAGGCGCTAAGGAACTCATGCCGAGATGTGCGAGAATTTGCATTTATGGACATGCACGGATTGAGATTTCCGCTTGCGGGGCTTCTTTGTGCGTTGCAAACGACGAGTCGTGGGCTTTATCGTTGACATTTCCTCTTGCTGCATAACACATTATTCAGCTGAATTTATTTATAAACGCCGAAACACGCGACAGGTGCCTCAGTGGCATTACGACAAGGATTGAGATATCGGCGCGCTCAGCCAGTCGTGTATTTTTCGAAAACGTTGTTTGGATTCCGCGCTGTGAATATTTACAATATAAAACGGTATTATTTACTTTTGGTTTGAATTCTTCTTCAATTCATGTATTTAAAATATATAATTAATTTAATTTTTGGCATTCCGCTCGCATATTTCCTTTTATTTGTTTACACTTAACACAGTGATTAGTTTAGCTAATATAGTTATTTATTTGGCTTTACTGTGCAACCTGGGAAAACCACATCAAAAATAAACAATATTCCGAATGGTATTTTGTTTAGTGCATTCCATCTAACAACATGTTGTTGGACCAGCCCCTGATACGCCCACACCAATAGGGCAATTTAGTTAAAGTGCTTATTAACACATTTGTGCATTAAAAAAAAAAAGATCATGTAAACAGCCTCACTTTCAGCGAAATTCTTTAGCCATCAATAACTAGCAGCAAGGCGCGAGCCATCTGTTCATTTTACACCACCCATCGTGTCTTTAACAATCAGCTTTGAAGTCTATTCGGTCGGCTCTCTTCAATTTTAGTAAATTCCTACACGGTTTCAAATTATTATTTTATTGGTTTAGAAAAACATAAACAATTCCATAAGTAGTTTAAGCATTCGCTATGTCTACACGTGAAGTGAATCAAAGTTTGAAACGAGTTTTTAATTCGGGTTTCATATTGTTATTGAAATATGCTTTGATTTAAAGTTGGATATGCAATCATGTATTTACTATAATTCAAGACTCGAGCGGATTCGTTTAATAACTAAGTCGTCTTTTGATAAAAAAGCTCAGATCTGCTCAAGGTTTAGAACTTGATAATATGAATATGAATAATTCAAAAATAGATATATATATACGTATACTTGATGAGATCTATAGATACATATATTCAATAGGTTCCAGGTAATAGGATTACCGAAATCCAATTTAAACCGCTCCCAAATTTGAATGCTTTTTTTTTTTTTTTTTTTATTAAACGACAGCAGAACCCAGTCTCGATTGCATTACCAATTTGAGTTTAATATTCTGTCCAATTGGCCAGGTGGTCGTTGCTTCCAGTGCGAGTCCATAAGGCCAACGCCTTTGGCAGCGACTTGCACTGTCCAAATAAACACGCACAATTTGTAAGCGTCCAAAAGCAAATAAATATTTGTAATTTATATGTTTTTTGCACGACGCGTCGTGGGCAATCCAACAGATATACATAAATATGTAAATAAACCGAACGTGAGAATGTGCGGCGATGGGGAATGCTGAATGCACTCTACACCATCAATTGATGTTGATAACCCATATTTATATGATTCCATGTGCATACTGATTGCCACATTATATTGATTATGAATTGTCGGGAAACGAGCCGTGTCTAAAATATCAATATATATCTTGTAAGATGTATAATGAAACACTCTGAAAACTGCATGCGCATGCACAAATGCAATATATAATTATTGTTTATCTTTTCTTCAGTCCTTCTCAATTTGCACACCTTAAAAAAGGCCAACAATTTGTAGATAAATACAGGGTATCAGGACAGACAATTAACTCCATAGTGCAGATAATTACATATAACGCATACGCCGCGTGCGACCATAAATTGAAATTCGCCGGCTCTTTGCTCATGTTATTTCAAGCCATTTGCGCCAAAATGTGCCAAATAAATCAAAAAGGCGGCCCATTAAATAAAGTATTAAATAAAACCTGAATAAATATACACGAATTTGCCGGCACTACTTTTACAGGCATAACATTACAAGCACTCGGAGCTGCAGTTTAATGTGCATCGTTAAACGTTTACGACACTTCTCAGACAAGTAGAAAACCACTTGCTAGCTAACGGGATTCGGGATTTGGGATTCAGAAGTCAAGCTCCAAACGCCTTGCCCGTGAGTCATGCAGCGCACTACCCGACTCATATTCCAATGGGTTTTGGTATGCAAATTGAAATATCAAAGTTAAACATCGATACCCTATAGCCATTATACGTGGGTTACAAATCGATAGCTATCCATATGTGGATAAGGCTTGAGATATTAAATCGCAAAATTTTCTAAAAAATATATTCAAATTAAATACAATTTGTAATTTGACTAAATGCGTGAATAAGCACCTACATAGTGCTTTGTATTCCACAGGGTATCTTCTAATCGGATAACAGCAACTAAATCACTTTCTTTTGTTGCTTTAATATTTCTATTTCGTTTATTTTGTGCAAATTGTATGAAATGAAAGCTAAACAAAGTTGATTATTTTATAGTTATAATACGATAAATATAATCGTTAATTTCAAGGTTAAACACGCAATAATTAACTCGGCGAAATTACTTTTGGGGGTCTACCTCTGGCTGAGCCATATGCGTGCCATCGACGAAGGCAACGATGATTTGATGATGCTGCGCTGCGGCTGCTGATGCTGGTGCTTATGCTTATGCCCCTGCTCCAGCCGCTGCCCCAATCACTGCTGCTGCTGCTTTTATATAAACAACTGCGCTGATGTCTATGATGATGACGAGCCTGATGATATGGCAAGCACATGGCAGTCGCATCGCTTGTCCAGTCCCGATCAGTTCATTGCGCCAATGGACCAGAGCTGGCCAGCCAAATGGCATATGAGTCAATTTTGTTTTGCATGCATTTTGTCGACGATTTTCAATTAAGTTTTTGCCAAATGCATTTTTGTCAAGGTTAATTGATTTCTAGTTTTGTTAGCTGATGGTTTTCAATTGTGAATTTTCTGAATTGTGAATTGTGAAGTTATCTATGCACTTCAGTTCAATGCTGATTTTAATTTAGATACACAATGCCAAATGCATCTTATAGCTAAAATGCATATATTTAATTAGGAACATTTCGAATTGTGGGCTGGCAAATGGCTCACAGCGTTTACACAATTTTCTGCATTTGGCTCGTGGCTAACGGGATTTCCAGTGAAGCATTTGATGTGCATAGTTTAATGTATTTTGTTCGGGATGTTTAGCCGCATATTTGTTTTCATTTTGGCTTTCGACTGTGCTTCCCACGGTCTTCGAGCTTTGCATTTCATTTGTTTGTCTACTACTGCAAACTGGGCAAAACATTTCACAGGAAACGCCCAAATGCAAAATTGAAAATATTTACACATACTTTTTCCAATTAAACGGGGATATGACTAGATTGGTTTGAATACACAAGTTTCGTATTTAAGCCCATTGCCTTGAGATGGACGCTTCCAATACACTTTCCGAAATTCTTGCCAACGGTCACGCGTCGTATGCATAAAGGCACCCAAAAAGCGCACGCCCATAAATCCAACAAGTTTATTTATTTATCACTCACATGCGGCCGCTATAAATACAATCGCGCCGGATTTCTATAAAGTGTCTGTATTTGGAAAATTTTGCCAAAAAAAAAAAAAAAGAATAAAGCAAAACAAAACATGTAAGACTGTTGAAACCCGACTAGAAGATACCGTGAATCCTGTGTCGAGTTCCTTCCCTAGCCAATTGAAATAGTCTCTTTTCTTCGAATATTTAAGGTGAATTGGGGCAGTTATTGCAAATCTGAAATATTCATTATTATAAGGTCGAGAACATGTACTACAAATCAGGATAGTTTTGCGACTTCTTATCTCTTTTCTTTTGGCTGAAAATGCATATTAAAATGCGATCATATATGGATAATAGGATACGAATAATGGGATTTTCTTATCTAGCATATTCTTCTGTATAAGTTATTATGCCCACAAATTACAATTTTAGGGTATTAAAAGAGAAAAACGAACATTTTTGGGAAAACACGAGCAAGCAACTGCATGTTGCAAATGTAAAGTCTTAGGAGGAAAAAAAGAGAGAAAAAGCTGCATGGCTATAATTAAGCGTGAGCTAACGGCCAGCAGAATGCAGTGAAATCTTAAACCGGCGAACCAAAATTGGCCAGACCAAGCGAATATGTTTGTAAAGGAACTTTGATTTATCTGGCAATTAATATGTGAATACCAAATTGTAGCTGCTAATTTGCTAATTTGTTAATTTGTTGCTAGCGAGCTGGGCTCTGCGCATGCGGAGCTACATATTGCGTATACGACAAGTTGTCGCTCTTGGCGCTCTCAAGTTTGCGCCAAATGTTTGGCAGGCGGGGCGGCATTTACAATTAAGTCATTAAATACACAACACTAATTGAACAGCCAACAACATTCACACAGTTACACAAACACACTGACAAACGCACGCACAAGCCGTGTAATTAAGCGAACATTGCGCATTCGCCGCATTGTTCGGGCGACACACACGTGTTTCAATTGGTCTCTCGAACAGGCCAGGCCAACCAATTAGCCAGTGCTAAAATATGTATATGGCTTACAACAAATATATACATACATACATACATGCATAAGTACATATATTGTTAACTATTATCGAATGCTGGCCTAATGCGAAGCTGCGACCGCGACCACAACGGCCTTCACGCCGCTCGAGGGGACAGACTGAACGGCGTCGACGCGTCGCCGCGCTGCCTCGCGCAGACAGAGTGTCGGCCAAAAATGTAGCCATTGGCATAAATTATAGCACTCGCCACAAAATATCAAGTAATCGACTGACACACAATTCTTCTTGCCCATTTCCAGCACTGGTCGACGGCAAACAGGTTTTCGCGCTGCCCTCCGACGACTCAGATGTATCTAAAGTGTTCTTCTTAGCTGTTTGATTCGCTTTCTTCTTCACCTGCGACTTTATTTTTAAACTTATTTTTTCCGATACGGCCAATTAGTCAGAGGCCAGGAACCACTTTGAACTAGCAATAAATTATATGGATTATCAATGTATTAAGTGGATGGTATGAAAATGGGACAGGCATCCACTGCTATCAAACAGAGCGCTGATAAAAACAGAGCGCACGCACTGCATATTTGCATATATTCATGAGGCTGTTTCCAAAAAACAAGTTAATAAGCAGCTACCCGAGCAGCAGAGGGCCAGCACACAGATCAACCGAATGGCTCTTTAATTAAATACATAAAGAGCCACAGATTTGCATTGCAAATCGCATTTGGCCATTTAAGCA